CAAGAAAACATCCTTAGAAGGAAGGATAAACTTAATCTGCAAATTGGAAGTTTTTCTAGGAAAAAAACAAGAATGACTGACACCAAACAGTTCTGGGTCCAGCAGCAGAAGACAATTCCTTAGGAATTCAGTCAGGAAAAAAAAAAGTCACCTACAATGTGGGAAAAATTAGACAGCTGGCCTCGGATGTCTCCACAGCGCCACCCAGGGCAGGAAGACAGCGTCCCCACACACCAGCGGGGACTGTGATAGAAACATCACGCAGAGGAAAACAACATTAAACCCCAAGAGAACACGTAAACATTTTCAAAGTACGGCAAATCCTCTTTATTCTTCAGTCCCATATTTGGGGATTTGCCGACATGCTAAAACTTGTTTATAACCCCAAAATCAATACTTGCAGCACTTTGTGACACACACTTAGTGACAAAATATTTGAGCTGCCCGACTGGCCCATGCGCCCGTGGAGGTGGGACATGGCAAAGGCCGCTCTGTCTTCTCGTTCTGGTTCTCACAATGCACACAAGACTGCAGTCTACACAGTGCCGCGTTTTTCACATTTTTGTGCTTTTTGTTGGTGATTTTGCCACTTAAAACGTCACCCCAAGCGTCGTGCTAAAGGGCCGTCTAGTGTCCCTAAGCATAAGAGTCCGTGACGTGCCTAACACAGAACATGTGCGTGTTAGGCGCACTTGGCTCAGGCACAAGTCGGTCATGAGTTCAACGTTAATGAATTAACAATATACCCCTATATTAAATAAGGCGTCTTTAAACAGAAACACACATAAAAGAACATCATGTATTGATCTGTTGTTGGAAATGTGACAGAGGGTTGCAGGAACCTAACCCTGTGTTTGCCCAGGGAGCGAGGGCTCAGTACTCACTAACTCTGCATTTGTGGTGACTTTACGGAACAGAATTACTGCACATAATGAGAATTGATCACACCTTCCCATCCACTGGGGAAGCTGCCTCAGGAACACTTCTGGAGAAAACCCCTCAACAGTGAACCCCACCCAATTAAGGGGTGAGACGAAACGAGGAACTGCAAAAGGGCCGCTCCAAAGGCTGGATGGCAACTGCGTGCAAACAGTTCCATGCCCAGCAAGGATCAGGAGGTGGGGAGGGAGAAAGGTGTACGCGTGTGCTTGTGTGTGTGCGTGTGCACGTGTGCGTGCAACCAGCTACTCACTAACCAAACCCTTGCCCTCCCCTCCCTGGGCTGAGGGCTGGGCCATGCTCCCTGGGAAGGCAGGGAAGCAAAGTGCTCTGCAAGTTCTTTCCCTCCCTCCCTCATCGTCTGGCAGACACAGAGGACCCCGTGGAGGTTTCCAGAGCCCCGGGGAATGGCCCGGCTGCCCCGTATGAGGAGCCTGAGTGTCCGCATGGAGCAGGGCCTCCACATCTTCATCCCGACAACCGGGTGGACTGAGAAGAGAGAAAGAAATAAAACATCTTTGGGTTCTGTGCCTGAGGTTTGGAGGCCTTTTTGTTACAGCAATTAGCTTAATTTTCCCCAAATGGTATAGGAAAAGAGCAGCACAGTGAGAAAGGAGAAAAAACCATAATACAAAATGAAAACAAATTCCAGCCTGGCAGCATCTCATATCCACTTCTTTTAACTTTACAAATTTACTTGGAAACAGTTTCTCTTATGGCAAAAAATTACTAAAGTTCCTCCTTTCCTTCACTGTCTTTTTCTCCTTTTATATCCAAATAAAATAATGTTAATGATGTTCATTTATTAATAGTGTGTGTGGTTTGAGCCCACGTTTGCCAAGGTACTTCTGTCTGTGTGCACATGCACAGGACCTGCATTCCTGCGGAGAGGCAGGTTGGAACAACGTTCACCGAAGGCTGGTGTCGACGGCCACTTCTGGGACTGGCTTCTGTACTTCCTTGCATTACTTAAATTCTTTATAATAATCATTTACCACTTGTATAGGAATCGTTAAATGACACAGAAGAAAGAACACCAACACGCCATGTCCACCCGCCTGAAAAGCCATTTGGTGCTGCCAGGGTGGCCCCTGGGCCTGCAGTGTTGCCGGATTGGTTCTGGGATGTCAGGCCACCCTGGGCTTTCCCTGGACAGCAGTGTCACATGGCTGACCTTGTTCTTAGAGGACAGGAGTCGGCATCACAGCCTCCCCATCTAGTTAGCACATGTCCCCAGAGAGAGCAGGGCAGACCCTAAGCGGAAGGTCCCTGCTGGGCCAAGCACTGCTCGCACGGGGGGCAGAGGACACACACAGGTTTAGTCTCACTTGGGACCTGGGCCTCGGAGGTGCTAAACCAAGGAGATCTGTGAGCCCCTGCATAGCGCCGGCCAGGAAACCCAGATGTGAAAATCAAGGAGGTCAAGTCAAGTAACGGTGCCAGCCTCCACAGCCAGCAGGTGGTACAGCCATTGTCCCGGTCCCCAGGGCACTGGCCCCCTCCCCCTGGTGGCATGGTCCAGTAGACTGTGCGCTTGAGGTCAAAGGGTGAATGCCAAGCACTAAGCCTGCCATCTGAGTGCCTCTGAGACCGTCCATGCCACCCTGTCTATACCACCCACCTATCTGTCCCACTTCCTTTAACCCAACTGTGAAAAGAGGAGGGTCCTACCAGCACAGAGATCCACAGAGACACTTCTAGAAAGGACAGATGGAGATGGTCAGGAATCTCATCCAGGCACCCCTCTCAGTCCTAACTCTCAAGGGCCGCTGTGTCCTCTCTGCAGCAAAGGGGCCTCTTGCCGACCACCCCCCACCAGACATTTTTTAGGTGGATGGACAGTGGTGAACACCTGCAGGCCAACCTGCCCAGGGGCCTCCACTTCCAGTTCTGTCTTGCGCCTGCAACCTGAGGCTGCAAGTGGCACAGACCTGATGCAAGTGAGAGGGGCACAGCTGGGTGACTTAGCACCCGGCACTCTCTGTCACATGCTCCTTCCGCTGTGCACAAAGGTCTGATTTACAGAGATCCTCCGAGGGGGGTGGTGCCCACCCCACACCGAAGCTCCAGGTTGCCAGGCAGTGACACAGCGGCCCCTCGTCCAGAGAGACAAGAGAATTCCCACCGCTGGAGGTGCTCGCGGGGTCTGGAACCCACCAGCCTCTGGAGAGCCTCTCTCAGGTCACCCACTCTCTTACATGCCCTGGACTCTGCCACCCACTCGGGACACTGGACAGTGAGACTCCATGGGGAGCTCAAATCCAGCCTCTGCCCTGGACGTGATCCCCTCCCCACCACACACCTGGCCTGATCAACCACTTCCCAAATGCACAGGCTCCACCCACCCTCAGCACGTGCCCCTTCACCACCGTGCCCTCCCCAGAGTGAACCCTCGTCCTTCATGGCCCAGCTCGATGGAACCAAGTTGGGGGAGACTCCCTGGTGCCTGTGCCCCCTCTGCCCACGGGAACCTGCTCATGACTGTTCATCCCCAAAGCAACCGTCTTCCTCCTGTCCACGGTGCCAGGGAGCAGGACTGTCAGTCTCTGCATCCCAGCCCTTGGGATAAAAGAGATCCTAAATCGCTCCCAGTTAAATTTACCGTGATTAACTGGGGAGAAGCAGGTTCCACCTCAGAGACTCCAGAGATGGAGAGAAGCACTTCCTTACCTAACAGACACCCTCGACCTGCCTGGGCGGAAGCCCTCCGACCATCTCCTTATGTCGAACTTCTCTGCACGGTCTGCAGGGGCCGGCACCCCGCATCTCACCGCCTAACCACCCCCTGCTCCCATCACCGCGCTCCGGCTGCACAGCTGGGGGCCCTTCGATGCATCTGCCTTCAGGAGCTGGGTGACTTAGTGGCGCCAGAGACCAGGCACATCCCATCCCCCCCGGACTGCCTTTACCACTGTACAGAACCATGCTAGTCCCTAATTCTTCCCTCCCCGGTGCCCAGAACAGACCCTGGTTCATCACAGGTGCGCAAACAGTCACTGAGCAAGGGAAGGTTAAAAAGGACCATGGCGCAGCCTCACGTTGAGGCCCTTGAGAAGTGCCCGATACCCCCAGCGAGCATTCGGGAGCGCCGCTTATGAAATTAGCCCTTTCATGGGAACCAGGAGAGGCGAGGTTTGCAAGTCCTCATCTCTGCTGCAAGCAGTTTCCCATTGCATCAGAAAGCCCTGATGGACTTGCAGAAGAAAAAAAGTTCAGGGAACGTGAAGGACGTGCGCACAAGATCCATCTTTGGAGTCCTGTCTCAGTGCCTGGTGGGTACAGGGTGGTGTGACTAGCGAGGCTCACTCCCCAGCGACGGTCATCTATTCCAAGCCTGGTATGCATTGGAAACCACCACCCTAACCCTGCCTCTGCCGCCACCCCAGCCCCCAGGGGCCAACCTCCCAGAGGGCGGCAAACCGCCACAAGGACTCACAGATGCCAGGGACAGCCAGGCATGGGCAAGAAGCAGCACGAAGGGCGGCTAGGGGAGCAGCACAGGAAGGGACGCTGGCCCGGGCCCGAGGGACAGCTAGGAGCTGGCCAGTGGGCAACGCAGGGAAGGGCACTGAGACAGAGCCTGCAGACACCAGGGAGTGGGGAGCTTGAGAGCTCGGGCTGGACACGACTGAGCACAAGCAGCGGGGAAGAGGCAGGGCCAGGACTAGACTTGCCCCATCCTGGTGCTGGGGGCGCTGATGGCTGACACGCCACTGCCCAGGTATCCTTTGCAAGGCAGAAAAATGCTCCCAGGCCTGGCACATAGTAAGTGCTCGGTGAAGGCCTGTGGTCCAAGGCAAGAGCAGTGACCACCAGGACAGAAGGCAGGCAAAGAGCAGCGGAGGCAGGCAGGGAGCAGGGCGAGGGGCCAGCAGGAGCTCAGAGGGGAGAAGAGGGCAGGAGCTTGGTGGAAGCAGGAGGCACAATGTGCCCACGGCCGCCAGGATCGTGGCCTGGGTGGGTCACAGGCAGCCCTGGCGTTCAGACCCAGTGGACACCGCCTGGCAGTGAAGGAAAGGGCGGAAGACTCAGTACAGCAGGGGCCACCGCGCACCGCTCACCGTCTGCTGCAGGTCCTGGATGACAATACGGATCACCAGCGTGTGGCCCTGGCTCTCCTCCGTCCTGGCACTGCCCGGCTTCTCCGCCGTGGCCCGGATGGTGTCGTAGATGGTCTCCTCTTTGGAGCTGTCCGACTCCGAGCCCATGGAATAGTCGGAGAAGCTCTGGGCCATCTCGTCCTCGCTGGACGTTGGGCTGCGCGGCATGGCTGCCTGTGTCTGCAGGCGGGACAAGGAGACAAACAGTGGGGACAGGTGAAAACAAGAAAACCCAGGGCGTGGCGGAGGCTGGCGCCTGGGTGAATGTGGGCACTTTCACAGTCCCACGTCTGTTGGCGGGCACCGACCAAGGCCCCTGTGTGAGCACGAGCGTGGACCCCGGAGGTGGCAGGGATTCGGCACCTCCCACCTCCTCCCCGGAGCCTGGGCCAGAGGGGACAGCAGCCAGGACCTGGGGGGGCACTTCAGGCTCTGGCCGCAGTGCAGTGAAACCCCAGCGTTTATATGGAGCCCCAACTAACGGTGGGGGTGACCAGAGCATAGGAGGATTAGCCAAAGGGCCGCCGGGGAAGTATGAAACTTCCCAAGGTAAGAGAAGAGGACATCTTTGGCAGTTCTTTGAGGACAGAGCAGCAGGACAGAAGGAATGTGGGCTTCGGGTCAGAATGGCGGCAAGTTCATGCTTCAACACAGCAGCAATGGGCACCGTGTAAACACTAAACAAAAAGGCTCAGGAAGGAGGAAATCTCTGGGACCAGGAGTCACACGGATCCCAAAGTCACAGCAGGCAGAAGCCAGGAGGCCCTGGCGGCAGAGGTTCCCCACAGCTGAACTGGTTCTGTCACAGCTGAATGCAGGGACAGCTCCCCAGCAGAGACCCGGGTCAGGCTGCTGACGGCCACCGCGGACCAGGGCTTTAGTGAGCCCTGGTCACTAACGCAGGACACAGGGCACTGGCCGGACAGCTCAGTGTTACAACACCACGGTCACAGGTTCAGATTCCCATACCAGCCAGCAGCCAAAAAAAAAAAAAAGAAAACACAACTCCAGAGGCAGTTGTTCACCGTGAGTGACCGCATTTGTGACACACCCCCCATCTCTGAGGGGCAAGGGTCCAAAAAGAGGTGGAGAGAAGCTAGCTTGTAATGAGTGACAGTGCCAGGGACTTGGCTGAGGACAGGCCATGACAAACCAGCAATTCCACTTACAGGTAAATTCTGTAACAGAGTCAAGCCCACGTGCACAAGGAGAGACGTACGCGATTATTTCCCACAAAAATGGAGGTGCTCTTGGCAAATGGGGACCTGTCGTCACCCCAGTCGTTCAAGGACTGCTTGATCAAGTTGCAGTCTGTCTTTGCCACGGACACCACATCTGTGAGAATGAATGAGTCCAGGCTATAGATGGATGATCCCAAAGACATGATAGTGAGGAAAAGCAAAGCCGTTTGCAGAACGACTCAACAACACAGTACCGCTGCTGGATAAAGGCTGGGAAGATGCGACGCAGTTTCACAGACTGCAGTGGACGTAAGCATCTGGCATAGCAGGGCGGAAACATCCAATGGGAAAGAGAAACACTGATCTCCGGAGAACGGTTCTCACGGGAGGAAGAGGGGATGGAACACCACTTGGAGCCACTTTACTTCCTTAAATGGTCCCAGCAAATATGACAAAGTGTCAAACTCTGATAAAGCTGGGGACACAGAAGCTTGCTGCATTATTCTCCATGCTCTCCTTCCTCCGTGCTGGGATCTTTCACAGCCAAAGGAAGGAAGGAAGGAAAGAAGGAGGTGCAGGCAGTGGAGTGCCATCCCAAACTGTGCCACACTGGCATGAGGACAGCTCTGAGCTGAAGGCAAGTGAGAAGTCTGCTGCCCTCCCCGTTTGTCTAAGCGCAGAATGCACATTCACAAAAGTGTCCCCCTCCTCCCTCTACCAAGAAGGACAAAAGGTCATCACCAGGACCACGTTGGACACTTATCCCCCAGAGACAGCACCGGAGGAATCTGCATAACAAACTTTACTAACTGGCCCTTATCCACCAGCTTGTTTCCCATGTATCTGCCACCCCACGACTTACCACCCTGGAAACTCAAAATGCTTTTGCCTTTGTCTTGTCGCTGCTCTAAAAATGTATCACTCCTTTGCTAAGATGCTACCTAAGCTCAAGTTCTAACCAACTATGTGAGTTACTCTTCACTGCGGTGTCTCCCACATGATGTGCACTGCATGGTTAATAAACGGTTTTTCTCTTGTGAATGTGTCATGGTCAGTCCAACGTACAGGGCCTCAGCCAGAGAACATACGAGGGTGGTAGGAAAAAGAACTTTCCCACCTCCACAGAAGGAAGGAAAGGTGGGAGAAAGGAAAGAAAAAAGGAAGGGTGATGGGCAGATGGATGGATGGGTGGAAGAATGGATCAAAGGACTGATGAATGGACTGGTAGGTGGATGGATGGGAGGGTGGAAGGATGGATGAATGGGTGGGTGGATGGATGGATGGATGGGTGGATGGATGGATGGATGGGTGGGTGGATGGATGGATGGGTGGGTGGGTGG